AAAAAAAAAGTAATGCAATAGTTACTTTTCAAGTAATTAATTAGGGCCCGAGCACTGAGAGTGCGAAGGCCCTATTGTATCTGCTCCGTTTCTTATTATTATTATTATTATTCAGGCAAAACAAGGGCCTTTTTGAGGGCCTAAACATGCTCAAAAACTCATGAAATTTTGCACACATGCCAGGTCTGGTGAAAAATTTTGTATTTTAATGGTTTTACATATGAGCACTGGGAAATGGCTCTACAGCGCCACCTATGCCTTGTTAAATGCAGCCCTACGACCACATCGTTTGAGCTACATGTATGAAATTTGGCACACATGTGTATCATGCCAAGACGAACAAAAAAGTCAGTGGGCCCATTGACGCAAACCCAACAGGAAGTCCGCCATTTGGAAGAGAAGGTGACATTTTGGCTCTAATTTTGCCATTTCCATGCCTCGAACTTTTTCGAACTCCTCCTTGGGATTTGGTCGTATAAGCTTCATCTTTGGTCAGTGTCAACTACACACCTGGGCCATGTTAAATTGCGGAGCTTTTGAGTTTTCACAATACTATGAGGCCGTGGCGCCATGGCGAATTTCGATGACTCGCCATGAAAATCTTATTGCCTCTCATTTTGTCATACATTTTCTGACCTTGACCAAAGTGAACACATATGATAAGGCTCCACCCCTGAACATATTTCAACTGCCATATTTGACATCAAGGACAGCGCCACCTAGTGGGAACAGGAAATGTCATGTTTTACACTTTGGGGTACAGTATAGTGATGGGTGACATCTGCAGCCTCAAATTTCTCCAGGAAAGCCTTAAGGAGTTGGTCTTGGGTTACAGTGAAAACTGTGAGTTTTCGCGAAAGGGTGTGACCCCAGCAGCATGGCGAACTTTGATGTCACGCCATGAAGAAACAAATTAGTATAACTCAATGAAATCCAGTCTGATCAGTACCAGACTTTACAGGCATGATGTCAGACCCGCCCTGAACAGATTGATGTGCCCATTGTCAGGAATACGCAGAGCGCCACCTAGTGGGAACAGGAAATGTCATGTCTTACACTTTGTTGTACTGATTTTCACAGGTTCATCGTGGCCACCTCAAAAGCGGTGAATATCACCATCAGTCCCTCGTGATGCTTCAGTGCGAAAATTGTGACTTTAAACTGAACGGCGCACCCTGGTGGCAACGCAGTTCACCATGAAAGATGAAGTGGCTTTTGAGGGGCTTGGAAAGTTTATAGAGGCTTGAAATTTGGCACACACCTCCAAATGGATGAAGGCTTTGTTGTCATGTGATCATTTTCATTGAATAGCGCAAAATGGCTCCACAGCGCCCCCTACAATATTTCAAAACATCAGCCCCTGCTCTGTGTTTTATGTATGAGTCTGAAACCTGGTAAGGTTATGGAAGATATCAAGATGTACAAAAAAGTCTCTTGGAGTGTGGAGCAGGGAAATTATTTTACTGCTATTGTTAAATAATCATCATCATTACTATTGCATTAATAATATAATCTGCAGCATTGATATTGTATTCAGAGGTTTAAACAGTGTGTGTCTTTCAAGAAAGACTAAGTTGCAGTTGACAGGAAGTTGCAGAGAGTTTGCAGGACTGAAACCGAAAGTTATTCTGAGGAGCAGGTTAGACGAGGCTATTTGAATTACTAGGTTATTCAAATTGTCTGTTATACTTTTATATTCTTTTACTAAGCTCTTAGTAGAGGTTCTTGATTAAAACATTTATTCAACATAGTACATGTAGTTTCAGTTAGGTTATTACACATAAGGATGAGCCTCTGGTCTGGTAAAAGGTCAGAAGTGCAACGGGTGAATTGAGAGAACATTTGAGGACGACACACACACACACACTCAGTTAGAGAGAATCATTTATAGGTGGAAGTTTAATCATGTTTTGCTTGGGGTTGCAAAAAGAGCAGTTTGTCGCAGAACTGCTGCTGAGGTGTCTGGATGACAAGCGAGCATCCGGCAGTAACAGGATGTACCTGTTATGAAGATGGAAGACGATGTTCTTTTTAAACTATGTTAAAAGTCATTGTGGTTTTGATCTGATCTATGTATAAAATGTATCTGTGACGTTGAAGGGGCGTCATTAAATTTAAGCCCAGATGGTATAAAATATCTGTTTATGCTTTGATTAAGTCGAAGATCAATTGCTGTCTGCGTACAGAGTTGTCTTCCCACGCGTGTATTCATTAAAATCATTGTTTGACCAAGATCTTCTGGACCATGGTGGTTTGTACTCTCCTTCCTCAATATTTGAACCTTAACATTTGGGGGCTTCGTCCGGTGGTTGAGGAGGGAGAGAATTGGAGGTGTAGACGGAGAAATTCGGTGGTCTGAGGTGGTCGGACGGGCAGACATGAGTGCCAGTGGTCGAAGTGAGTGGGCATAAGCCGGCTTATCCAAAGGTAAGGCACTACCTGTTGAATTATTTCCAAAGTGTGCCAAATTGGACATGATAAAATTTAAGTCTACTCACTGAAATTACTGGTGGATGTCTGTTTTGATTTTGATTTTGATGAAAAATCTCATGAGTTGAAGCAGTTAAAGTCTGCTAAAGCAGTTAGAGTCTGCTAAGAAAAAGTTGAAGCAGTTAGAGTCTGCTAAAGCAGTTAGAGTCTGCTAAGAAGAAGTAAGCAGTTAGAGTCTGCTAAAGCAGTTAGAGTCTGCTAAGAAAAGTTTAAATACTGGGTTGAAGTCCCAAAGAAATTGAGTTAGAGTCTCAAGTAGTTGGTAGGGAATTTGGTCATTTTGTGGGTTAAAGTCCCGGTTGGTCATTAGGTCAGACCTTTGTTGGTCATTTTGTGGGTTGGAGTCCCCATTGTCCATCAGGGTAGATCTGCCTCAGTCATACACTTGTTTTGGGTGTTGATTGTTGTTTCAAAGTATTATAAATTATTATAGGACGGCAGTTAGAGTCTGCTAGGAAGCGCATTTCTCGGAGGTAATGCTCCCTCCCGGCCAAGGACGCTTGGCCCTGACCTATCGGCGAATAGGGTTAGTACGGTCGGCAACCGGGAAGAACTTGGGAACCTTCAAAATAGCTAGGAGTTAGAGTCTCCTTACCGTTTGGAACGGTAGTCTGCGCTTTTTTGGCCAGCAGAAGTTGGACTTCGGGCGTGTAACTTTAACTTAAAACTTCGGGGTAAGCCTTGGCTGTGAAACGCCAAAAATAGAGCTTCAGGCAAAGTTTGGGTTGGTTGACGCTTTTAAATTAACTTAGGGATGTTAGAGATTAGACCAGAAACAGTTAGAGTCTGATACTGGTGAATTGGTCGTAAAAAACTGAGAGTTTATCCGCTGGGCGGTTATTTTAAATTTGTCGAAATTGGTTAGGCGCTAAAGCTGACAGATCTGACAGTGGTTGTAAATATAAGACGTCTTTGTAATATAAAATAAGAGATCTCTGTGTGAAAGGAGTCTGAGGCAATGCTGCTGCTATTTTTAGACGGAGTGTGTGTGAGTGTGAAGATGCAAATTAGTAAGCAGTGAACTGTTTAAGCCACAGTTGGTTTTACATATACTGCGGGCAATAGAACACCTGCAGTTAAAAAGGCCAAAACTATAATGATGAGAAGATTAAAATATATCTTACCTCTGAAGGTTTGGCAGGATGAAAGGTAAGAAAAAACACTTTTGGTTCATACATTTTACCTCAGACTCTAACATTAATGGAACACAACAGTCTGTTTTGTTAGACCCTCTCTGCCTGATAAGGCGGCATCTTGGTTTCACTCTGATGTTGAAGTTGAAGAACTGTTTTTGTCCTGATGTCAGCAGTGATGGAAGAGGACCCAGATGAAAGATTGATGTTAAACATGATAAGACTGGTAAATGAATTTAACTGGAGTGAAATATAGATGTGTGTGAGTGCAACCAAATGTTTTATGTGCATTTAAGACAAAAACGGCTCTCTGGGACTGTGTGTGTACTGTACCCTGCAGCTGTTTGTTTTTAAAAAGAAAAAAACAAGTTTGTCGTCAATAACATGCCACTTCTCATGTGTGGTTTAACACTTACTGCAGAAACTGAACGCCTGATAAGAAGGGGAAATACACAGAAGTTGTTTGTGCTAGAGAAAACTCCTCTGTATGGTTTTACAGCAGTATTCCTGTTTTTTGTTGCATTAAACTGGTTTCTTCTATACCTGTTTGCATGATGGTGTGGGAACACAAACATCAAAAATCCTGTTTGTATAGACATGTTAAAATGCATGATTTGAACCTTTTAAATATATATATATATGAGAAAAAGAAACTTGTTGCCCACAGCAGCTCAATGTGGCTAACATTAGAATTCACCAGCTGACACCTCATCCTCATT